TCAAGCTGCTCTGCCACCTGGGCTGTAGGACCCAGAAGATTCAATGGTGCTTGAAATGTCAGTGGCAGATAGGGATGCTTTTTGGAGCCTTTGGCAGGTCCCTAGAGGTGAACTGCAGCACATGCTCTCAGGATTTTGTAGCAAAAACCTGCCATCTTCAATACATAACTACTCCCCTTTTGAGAAAGCTGTTCATCTGCTACTGGGCCTTAGTAGAGACTGAACACTTAACTATGTGTCCCCAAGTTACATGTGATTGAGATGCCCATCACAGATTCATTATCTAATGTTATCTGATCCATCAAGCCATAAAGTTGGGAGTGCACATCAACATTCCACTATCAAATGGAAACGACATACATGAGATTGGGCCTAAGCAGGCCTTGAAGGCACAAGTAAGTTACATGAAGAAGTGGCCCAAATGCCCACGATCCCCACTCCTGCCATACTGCCTTCACTCTCCCAGCCTGCACCTATGGCCTCACGGCAAGTTCCCTGATAGCTGCCAGAGGAAGCGAGCCTCAGGCCTGGCTCACAGATGCTTTTATACAATATCCAGGCATCACCAGGAAGTGGACAGATACGACACTATAAACCTTTCTGGGACATTTCTGGAGGACAGTGGTGAAGGGAAATCCTCCCAGTGGACAGAACTTTGAGCAGTGCACCTGACTGTTCATGATGCTTAGAAAGAAAAACGGCCAGAAATGATTTTATATCAATGGGCAGCAGCCAATGATTTGGCCAGATGGTCAGGGTCTTGGAAGGAGCATGATTGGGAAATGGTGACAAGGAAGTCTGGTTGACAAAGATATTTGGGGAAGAGGTATGTGGACAGATCTCTCCGGATGGGCAAAAAAATGAGAGGGTATTTGTGTTCCATGTGAATGCTCACCAAAGGGTGATCTCAGCAGAGGAGGATATTAATAATCAGTTGGATAGGATGACCTGTTCTGTGGACACCGGTCAGCCTCTTTCCCCAGTCACCCTGTCATCACCCAGGGGGCTCATGAACAAAGTGACCATGGTGGCAGGGACGGTGGTTACACACAGACTCAGCAACATGGACTCTATTCACCAACGCTGACCTGGCTATGGCCACTGCTGAGTGTCCAATCTGCCAGCAGCAAAGACCAATATGGCACCAATCCCCAGTGTGACCAGCCAGCCATCTGGTAGCAGGAAGAGCATACTGACTGCTTCCATTATGGAAGGGGCGGCATTTTCTTCCAACCAGAACAGGTACTGGGTATGGATATAGATTTCGCTTTCTGTGCCTGCAATGCTTCTGCCAAAACAACTATCTGTGGACTTATGGAATGTCTTATGCACTGTCATGGCATCATGTACATCACTGCATCTGATCAAGGAACTCACTTCACAGCAAAGTAAGTGTAGCAATGGGCTCATGCTCAGGGAGTTCGCTGGTCTCTCCAAGTTCTCCACCCCCTTGAAGCAGCTGGCTTGACAGGAGGGTGGAAGGGTCTTTTGAAGACTCAGTTACATTGTAATTACAATCCCAGGAGGCAGTACTTTGCAGGGCTCTGGAAAGGTTCTCCAAAGGCTGTGTATGTTCTGAATAAGCATCCAATACATGGGTGCTGGCTGGGCTGAATGATCCTGACTACCCAGGGGAACTGGACTGCTACTCCACAATGGAATTAAGGAAGTATGTCTGGAATACAACAGACCTCTTAGGGTATCTGTTAGTATCACCACACCCTCTGAGTAAGGTCAACTGAAAACTACAGTTACTCAGTCTATCAGGACTTCTACTGGTCCAGATTCTTCAGAAATGAAGGTTTGGGTCATGCCACAAAGTATCTACTGAAGGTAAGTAATACACAGTGGGTGGTGGAAGAAGGTATTTATAAATACCAGCTATGATCTGGTAGCCAATTATAGAAACAAGGACTATAATTTCCATGAGTTATTTCCTCCTTATTTTGCTATGAATACATTTGAGTGTATGTGTGTATGTATAAATAAATATATATGTATACACACACGTTATATGTGTATATGGATGTCTTTGTTTTCTTTCCTCTCTTTTTCCCTTAACACATAAAATAAGAGGTATTGACTTTATATTGAGGTATTTAAGTATTGTTACTTTTGTAGCACAGTATTTAAGCAATTTCAAGAAGAGTGAACACTCAAGGACTCCATCCTTTCTGGGGAAGGGGTTAGTATGGTTTTGGTTGTATGTGGGACAGTTGTATCGTGTTAGATGGAATTATGGCCTTGTTACTGTCTTTATTTGGATATTAAGTATAGTTTAAGAGCATGCATACGGCTGTCAGGTTGACAAGGGGTAGACTTGTGATGGTTAATTTTAAGTCATCTACTAGGTCACAGGTTACCCAAATTAAACATTATTTCTGGGTGTGTCTGTTAAGGTGTTTCTGGATGAGGACAGCATTTGAATTGGTGGATTCAGTAAAGTAGAATCCCCTCCCCAGTGTGAGTGGGCACCATCCAGTCCCTTGAGGATCTGCTCCTGCCAGCCTGCTTAACCTGGGACACTGGTCTATCCTTGGATTTAAACCACTGGCTCCTCTCATTCTCAGGCTATTGGGCTTGCATTGCAGTTACCCACTGGCTTTCTCCAGCTTGCTGACAGCAGATCAAGGGACTTCTCAGCCTCCATAACTGTGTGACTGATTCCTTATAATAAATCTCTCTCTCTCTCTCTATATATATATATACACACACACACACACACACACATATATATACATATATATAATAAATCCCATATATATGTGCATATATGTAAATCTTATATATGTATTAAAAATACACATACACACATAGATACACATACATACACACATATATATATATATATACATATATATATATATATATCTCCTATTGTTCTCTGGAGAACCCTAATAATCGGTCTCTATTTTAGCCATTTCAGTGAGTATACAGTGCTATCTCATTTTGGTTTAATTTGCATTTACCTATAGGCTAATGATGTTGGTCACCTTTTCATGTGCTCACCTGCCACCCATAGATCTTCTCTGGTGAACTGTCTGTTCGAATCTTTTGCCCATTTTTAAAAATGGAGATTTCTTCCCCTTGAGTTTTGAGTTCTTTATCTAGTCTGGATACCAGTCCTTATCAGATATATGATTTGCAATTTTATCCCAGTCTATAGCTTGTCTTTCCACTCTCTTAACAGTTTCTCTTAAAGAGCAGAAGTATTTAATTTTGATGAAGTCCAATTTAACAATGTTTTCTTTTATGGATTGTACTTTTCATGTCTTATCTAAGAAATCTTTGCCTAACCCAAGGTCAAAATGATTTCCCTTTATGTTTTATTCCAGAAATTTTATAGTTTTAGGTTTTTCATTTAGGTCTATGATCTGTTTTATAGTTAATTTTTCTATAAGGTGCAAAGTATTTATTAAAATTCATTTGTTCCCCATATGATAGCCAGTGATTCCAGCATCATTTGTTGAAAAGACTTTTTTGCTGCCAAATTGACTTTGCACCTTGGTAGAAAAAAAACAAAATACATCAGTTGCTATATCTGTGCGGTTCTATTTCTGGACTCTCCATTTCACTGACAATTTGTCTATCTTGATACAAACCACCACAGTGTCTTAATTATTGTAGTTTATTAATTTTGAAATCAACTTTAGTCTACTTTTTCAAAGGTAACTTGGCCATTCCAGGTCCTCTCCATTTCTATATGAATTTTAGACCTAGGTTGTCAATTTCTACCATTAAAAAAAAGCCTGTTGATATTGTGATTGCAATTACACATTGCCATCTATAGATCAATTTGGAGAGAAATAACCTTAATTATATTGAGTGATAAACACCCACGTGTGCTTATAAGTACTTAGCTGAATGCTTGAGGGGTACCTTCTGCAAAACTCTGAGCTTCTCTGTCTCTGCCGCTTTCTCCTCTCCAACATCCAGCCCTGTAAGCTCTACATGCGTTGGTCCTCCTGGACTCTCAGTTCCGTCTCCTCCACTCTGCCTGGTCTCCCCTCCCTGCACTGCAGCCTGGACACTCTCTGAAGGCAGTAAGCTGGGCAATCATAAGGCTCACCTCGTTTATTTTCCGTCTCTCAGTGTTCACTGTCCTTCATTGCTAGATGTTCAATGTCTTCAATACTGTTGTTTCATATATTTTGCCCATTTAAAAAATTGTTTCAGGCAGGAAAGTAAATCCGGTCCCTGTTATTCCATCTTGGTAAGAAGTGGAAGTCTCAATTTTTAATTTTTAATGTCAAATCTGTTCTCAAAGTTATAAAATTCAAGTAAAAACAGGACAAAAACATAACTAGTAATTAGTATAATGTTTTATCACTGTTCGTTTATTTGTTCATTAATTCATTTCATTCCAAAAATATTTATTGAATTCTGCACAGTAAGCACTGTGCTGGCTCCTGAGCATACAATGCTAAGGATAAAGCCAGATGTGCCCCTTGCTCTCCCAGAGCTTACAATCTAGTGGGACAGACAGACATTAACTAAGTAATTATAAAAATAATTGCAACACTGCAATTGTGATACCTGCTATGAAGGAAAGAATAGAATTATGCTATGATAACCTATAAGAATGATGTTAATGGTATTTTCTTCTACTGAGCCTATATCCATGAGGTGAAAAATAGCACTACTGTTTATGTTAAAGTCACAAAGAAATTATTACATAGTGGGAAAAAAGTATCCATCAAATAAACTTCTCAATATATAATGTATTTACTAGGTTACAACACTGTGCTAAGTGCTTTGAAGCATATAAAAATTATGATACTATCTCCTTGAAGCTTAAGATCTAATTAGGCAAATAAAATATAAAAAAATATAAAGGTTAGGTATCTACACCCTATGTGAATATAAATGAAAATTTATCACTTAAACATCATTTTGTCTTCTCCCATTCAAAAAATTATTTTTCCATGAGCTTAATTACAGAAATTTGATCAGTTCTTTTGAGAAAAACAATACATTTATTTTATTTTGTTAAGACTTACCTAGATATCTCAGCTTGGGAGTTCTTCTCTCCATCAACAGTGAAAGGAGATGCTCCAGTTAGTAATTCATACATTAGAACACCTAAACTCCACCAATCAACTGCCTATAAGACAACAAGAATTTCATTTTCTAAAATATTAACTAATGTATATTTTATGGGAAAGAAAAACAAAAGAAGCTATATATTTGGAAAATATTTTAACAAAAAGGTTTTGTACAGTTTTCTGTGTAAAGAGCATTCAATTAGCACAAGCAAGAAGGACACTTAGAGAAAAAATATCCGTGTATCCTCAGCACAGAATTTAAACAGTGAAGTCAATCAATGGACTAAAAGTGTTTTTAATTATTTCCTAGACAAAATGTTTTAAGTTTGGTTAGTTTTTTTAAATATTAAATTTAAAATATATTCATTAGACTTATAATAGGGGGAAAAAGTACCAATAAGCATTTTAAAACTTATTCAGCTCCCATGAATATTAAGAAATTCCTTAAAGTCAAAGAACAACAATAAAACAAAACCATCCAAAGGTGTTAGTTTTCATAACTACTTAACTCAATTACAGAACTTTTCACATAAGTCTTCATTTATAGGAAGCATGAAGAGATTTAAAATAATATAAAATAAGATGTGATCTAAATTGGAAACCAATTTATAAATGTAATTACATGAAATGAAAGCATAACAAGTTATATAATTTAAAGAGTTTTGATGTATAGAAAATCAGGTTTTTTTATAATTAGGCAAATCATGATTTCAATAACTTGAATATGAACTTACACCAAAAGGATACTAGCTAAAATTTTTAACTCTCTGCTTCCAAATTTTAGGGCCAAGGTTTCAGACAAATAATGTGAAATATATGAGCCTAGGGATATTTTAAAGAAAATCTGTAACCAATGACATATAAAACAGGATCACACAGACTGAAATCATGAAAGGAAGAGTGAGGAGCCAGACAAAGTGATGGGCACTTTGCCTACATTATCTCATTTAATGAGCTCAAAGTCATCAAGGTGCTCCATAAATGGAAAAGAATATTTACACACTAGCTATATTCTGGACCTCAGGTTTGCAGAAATTCTAGGGATGATATAAACTTTTCTTTTCTAAAAATTGGTTCCATTAGGTCTTAGAACAGTTTTCAAAGTTTAGGAGTTACAAATTCCTATCAAATTCCCCAACAGCTTCCAAGAATATCATTAAGCAAACTAAACAAGCAATTCAATTATTTAATTTATATAAGCAGCTTTACTGCCATCTGAGTCAGGACCCTCGGAATGTTTTATTGTTGGATTTGAAACCATGTTCTTAAATTGACACAGATCTACAATCAGATTCCTAGTCGTGACCTAAAACCAATACCACACAAACTTGAAGAACAAGCTTTAAAATATATGATTAGTCATTAGAATCAAGACCAAAGATTCTCCACACTTAAGATATTTGGACTGAATATGTGAGATTTTGAAAGGGGAAGAGGGAGAGACAATGAAAAAAAATATAGCCAGAATTCCTTATTTGGAGAAAGTTACTAATAAAGCAAAAGTGTTAAGAAGACACTGCACAAATTTGTACCCCTTAACACTGAAGAAAAAATATGTGACTTAGATTTTATAACACAACTCCTTAGAAAGCCTATTCTACAATCTTTGTTTTGCACGTACAAAGGGAAATGAAGAACGAAATCAAGCTTTTTAGAGGGTTAGGAAACAGACTGGTTTGAATGCAGAAATTTTTTCTTTCTCCAAGGATTGTTACATTGGTTATTTCTGTTGAAAAGATATTCCACAGTCTCTAGTACCTCTACAGGGAAAAGCAGAAACTGGGAATAAGGACATACGAGAGACTCCCCCTTTTTAATGATCTCGTAGAAAGCAAATACCAACTAAAGGGGAAACACTTGACTGTGTTTTGGTATGTTTTTCCAGCAAAATTCAATGATGCCAATAAATGCAGTCTAAAATCACTCAGCATGTCTCAGACAGGGACAATGTACAGTTTATACATTCAGTGGGACCTCTGTATTGAACTGTGGTTCAGGTGTATCCTAAAAGACCAGGTCCTGTGCAAAGAAAAGGAGTGATTTTTGTTTTAAATAGATTTACAACTGGTGCTTTGCTCAAGATATAGACTTTTTGAATGGAAGTAAAATAAAGATTGTTATTTGAGGAATTATAATTTTCAATTTTGAGAAAGTTGGTTTTGATGTTTCCTTTAACATGAGGTGTTACTCTATAAAACAAAAATTATCCTCACCAAAAAAAACATTTCTGAAAAAAGATAAATTTAGGATGCCATAGCCTTTCCATTATCTCTTTCCTCCAAAACACTAGATATATCATGAGCTCATATATACAAAGCAAAGGAGAGAAAAATATGAAGGCTAAACAATACCAGAAAGAGGCTTTGCTATCCCAAATTATTAACTAGGATTCTTACTATACATTTTATAGACATATATATAAAAAGGTGTCAAAAACAGAACATACCTTGTCATGTCCTGAATCTCCCCCTCTGACAATATCTGGTGCCATGTATTCAATAGTTCCACAAAAGGAATATGCTCTTTCACCCTTAAACAAACAAACAAAACAAAAGGAGATCAAACAAAAAGGGGTTTGATTTCAAGCTAGTATGACAAGTGACAGAAAAAGAAAGATACTACGTGTCAGTGGTTGAGATGGGACCACAGTAGCAAGGTGGTGGTAGGATCTAGTTGTTAGACCCTCTTCTCATCAGGACAGACCATATACTCACCAGTGTGTAAGTACTGGATAAATGTCCTGCCAGAAAGCTTTCCCATGCCTGAAGCCCTACCATCATTCATTGATTCATTCATTCACCCATCCACCCATTCATGAATCCATTCATTCACTCTTCTTCTTTTCTGTACATGTGCATATTTCAGTCACTGATTTCTTTCACCATTCTTTTTTTTAAGAATGCAAATAGTCCCAGTAGGGTAGCATGGACTGTCTAACACTGTAGTATGGATGACTTTATTTCCTGTTGTCAAGATTGGGCAAACATTGGGAAATGTGAAGGAGGAAGGAAAACCAAATGCTAAAAAGGGAATAGGGAACCCAAAGATGAAAAAGGGTGAAAAGTATTTTTCCTACTTTGCCATCTTGTCTAGTTTTGGCATGGCTAATAGTATGTTTAATGATGATGAACAAAACTGTCTTAAAAAAAGATTGTCTCTTATAGACAGTTATTTCTCTTTTACAGAACTTTAAAAGGGGCTAATTTACCAGCTTGAAAATTAATTAAAATATTTTTTAAATAACCAACTGTGTCATATGACTCATCCCAATATAATAATGGAGAGTAAATATCTAAATTGTTAAACAAATGTATTAAGTAAAGAAAAAAGAATTCTTTAATAATATATATTTGTATGGTTACACTGAAACTTTAAAGGTGTTTTGTGACATTAAAATGTTTTAAAAACTATTTTAGAAGAACTTTTCCAATTTACACTTCGCTTCCACTATAAGGCTTCAAGAAAAAAAATCCTGTTATTTATCAATTTTAAATATAAAGAACACTACTTTAGCAATGTTACAGAAGTGGTGTAAGTCCCCTACTGTACTGGCTGAAAGTTAAGCCCAGAAACAATGAAAATAATGAATTTATTTAAACACCATAGTAACAAATGTATTAAAAACACTTCATTGTTTTCTTTTTTACTTTATAAACACTGTATTGTTTACTTTTATCATAAAGGTAAAATACGTTTATGATTCATTTCTTTTCTTTGTGCTACATATATTAAAAGATTACTATCCCCTACAAACTAAAAGAAATAGTTCAATTATGTTTAGATCTCCAGAAAAGTTTCTTTTATGTTAGCTAGCAGTGCATTGTTACTGATAAATAAATCAAACACCAAATGTCATTATTTTTCTGCTTCATCATTTCAGTACCAAATGCTAATATTATGTCAAATTACTGGAAAGATTAAAGCTAAATAAAATTAAATTCCACATAAATTTGTGTATAAGAAATAATGAATAACTGATGCTAGACATGCTTAGAAAAAAATTTATTAGGAATCATTCTGTTCACTGAATTATTAAAAGAAATACTACAAAACTACTTAAAACCCCATACTTCATAAAACTGAATAGTACTTTTAAGCCTTTTTTTGGATATTAAGCAAAAAAATGGCATAAAAATGACTAAGTCTACAGTATTTATCATATCATTTGACCTCATCTTAAAAGATAGCTTTAAAACATTACACCCCAAATCAAGTTTAGATATGCTGAAAAAAAAAAGATAAAAATAATTCTCCAAATTGGTTTATGAGTAAAACAACAAGTTTATATTTATTGCTTCTTTAGATTTTTATTTATTTAGGACACTAGTGTTTCTAGCAAATACAAATTTTAATTTCCATTTATAGGCAGATCTATGGTACAAACCATTTTGAATTATGCATATTTCCTTCTGAGTATGAGATAATGACTTAATTTTACAAATTGAAAATCAGGAAAATCTGCATTCTCTTCTTCAAAACACTAGAAAGTCATAAGTTTTGTGCAAAAGGGTATGAAACATACAGATTCTATTGGTAATGCTAGAAATGTCTGAGAATCACCACCATGTCTCCCTTTACCTGACAATGAGAACTACATAACTCTTTAGTGTTTTGACATAGAGGAAGCTCAGAACCACGTAAGTGTTCAAAGATATGACTTCTACCTTCTTCACGTGACTTTTGAGCTCTCTTTTAATTCAGTTTAGAATGTCTGTGTTTTTTTGAGGGGTGGGCAGTAAGTATTGTCTACAGTAATAAATAATTAATGGGTAATTATTTATTTGATAGGAATTCCAGGAGACAGAAAAATTAAAGCTTAAGTGTTGAGAAGTTCTGGTCACTAAGGAATAATAGTAAACAAAAACAAAGTACTTCTTAAGGCTCTCTGTTATTCTAAAACATTGCCACTTTAGACTCTTGAAATTCTCTACCTGTATCCTCTTCCTCTGCTTCAATGGAAGTGTCACTCCCCCTGGGTTCTAGTATTAAGTGTGTCAGCCTCCATTTCCTAACAGTTTATCTTCTATTTCTAAAAATATCCCCAACGTTAACTTTTAAATTTGTGTTTATCTGCCTTGGAAGATTCATGTTATCTGCAGTGTACACTGAATGCCTTGCAAATAATCCTACCAAGAGGACCAAATCAGGTATTACAGGGGAAGGCAGGTAAGAGTTCAAGGAAATATTTTGTGAACTATGATATGAAAAGGCTAGGATAACATAGCTAAATTCTATTATGATCATTATTATTGTTCAAAATATCTTTACAGTAACTTTTTTTCAAAGAGACAGGCAATCAACCTAATTAGCATGTAAGTCCATACTATATTACAAGCAACATTACTTATTAAAGCTACCACAGAGTTAAATGACTGTGAATGAGAATTTCCTTGAAAGAGAAAATAATAAAAGCAGCAATGTGTGCACCATCCTGGCAGAAAATATGGAGTATTCTTGTGCTTAAGTGAACAGCTAATCAAGGAGGCTTCACTGTTTCTTAGAGAGAAGGATCAGATAACACTGGACATGAAAATGGTTTCCTTCTAAGGAAGAATCCAAAGAGGAACTCAACTGCCAAATCCTCAGGTGTTTCTCAATAAACACTAGATTAAATCATTCCTAGCTTTCATTTGCTAAAGCTTTATCCTGATCATATTGGCTTATGATAGAATTTGTGAGTTAAATGTAAAATAACAAGGGAAAAGAAGTTTTTTCCCCTATTTCTGTATGCTTTTCCATCCCGATATTGACAAATCTCATCAAAACAAATATCTAGAAATACTTGGTTTTTAAAAAGAAGCAAAGAGAGGATTAAAGTTGGCAGCGTGAGAGGTGAGACAGAGGCTTCCTCCTAAAACCACATATAATATAATATAATTAATACTACTAATCCTGAAAGAGAAACAGGAAAGAGGGCTGCGCCAAACTGCATACAACTGGAGGAAAGAATAAACCTCAAAGAACAGGGTAACCTACAAAAGCTGTGGCCTGGCAGGACCTATGCCCTTCCCCCACCCAGATCACCAGCAGGAGGAAGAGAAATGGAGCAGGGAGGGAGTGGAGGCCTGGGACTGCTAAACACTTAACTCTGGAGATCTGCTCTGGGAGCACAAACCTACATTTCATGGTGTTTTCATGGTACTCTCGTGATTAGGGGGTTGGAAAGCTAAGACAGGCAGAATACCTGGAGAGACTGAGATTCCAGCCGCTTGCGGAAAGCAGGGATCCATACCTGGCTGCTCTAGGGCAAAAGAAAGGCGGGCAGTCTGAGAGACTTCCTAACAGCAAGAGGGCTACTAAAGAGGCAAGAATAGCACAGAGCTTACTGCTCAGAAGAAAGGACAGATAGACAAAATTGTCTGGTTGCACTCTGCCCAGCAGGTTGGGAACTTTCACGATCTTCAGGTGCTCGAGCTCCCTGGCTGGCTACAGAGCTCCAAGGACCCCCTCCATGATATGCAGCCTACTGCACCTTTCTCCAGCAAACCAGCAAATCCTACCCTGGCATTAGGCCAGCCAGAGGGAAGCTCCATCAACAGCAACCACAAACCCAAAGCATAGAGGCTTATACCTGTGTGCTCAGCCCACTGGATCTGGCAGTGGAGGCAGGCATAGCAGCCGGGAAGCAGGAAACAGCTCTCTCCTCCCACCAGACACCAATACCACTCCCCTGCGACCCCCAACATTGCTTCAGGGCCTGAGCAGCTCCAGAGAGTAGAGCTTCTGGGCACTAGAGGGCACCATATACAAATATGAAACACCAAAGGAAATTTGTTCAAAGTAAAATTATGAATATTAACACCTGAGAGAGATTCAAATGAAATCGACCTCATGAATCTTCCTGAAAGACAGTTCAAAATAAAAATCATTACCATGCTCATGGAGGTACAGAAAATTATTCAAGAACTAAACAATGAATTCCAATCAGAGATCCACTCATTGAAGAGCACAATGGAAGGTATTAAAAGCAGGATAGATAAGGTGGGGATGATAAATGAAATAGAAACTAGAGAAGAGGAATACAAAGAAGTTGAGGCACAGAGAGAAAAAAGGATCCCTGAGAACGAAAGAATATTGAGAGAAATGTGTGATGAATCCAAACGGAACAACATTTGCATTATAGGGGTACCAGAAAAAGAAGAAGAGAGAAAAAGGGATACAAAGAGTCTCTGAGTAGGTAATTGCTGAAAACTTCCCCAATCTGGGGAAGAAGATAGTCTCACAGGCCATGGAGGTGCACAGATCTCCCAACACAAGGGACCCAAGGAAGACAACCCCAAGTCATATACTAATTAAAACGGCAAGGATCAAGGATGAGGACAGTCTATTAAAAGCAGCCAGAGAGAGAAATAAGATCACATACAAAGCACATAAGGCTATCATCAGACTTCTAAGCAGAAACCTTACAGGTCAGAAGGGAGTGGCATGATGTATTTAATGCAATGAAGCAGAAGGGCCTCGAACCAAGAATACTTCATCCAGCAAGATTATCATTTACATTTGAAGGAGGGATCAAACAATTTTCAGATG